AAAGGTAGGGAGTGGGTGATCACTAAATCTCTTTCACACTTCTCTGTAATCCTTTGGCTTATCACACAATATTCTCTCTCTGTGAGAGTGGTAGGTTGCATATTTAGTCTAGGTAATGGGTGAAAAGGACATTGATCAATCATCAAAAAATGGGTCATCCTCGGTGTAAAAGCCTGACGAGGTTTTCTGTTTCATGAGGTATTGTTTTGCAGTACGCTATTGTTTATATTGTTTTGTTGTCTTTGTTTTACGTCACTCGCGAGCTTCACAGGTTTTTACACCGAGGATGAGACCAAAAAATATATTTCTTGATCATGTACAATCTTTCCCCTTGATAAAACCTTTGACACCAGGTTGTGTCGTATTTTATGTGGATTGTTAACAGCACATTCCTTCCGTTGTTGTTATTTTTATTTATCCATTTTTTATCTTAAGAAATGTTAGTCATGAGATTTTGATGCTGGTAACTTAAGAGGGAATCTTTAAAAATTGAGATCAAATGTCCCATCCCCTTTGAAAAAAAAAAAAAATGGTTTCTCATTCCTTCGATCGTTCGCCCATCCTCCCTACCCCACCCTTTTCTCACTTCGCAGGGGGCTTGGTGAAGAGTTATTTATGGTGCCTTGTTGAAAATATAGAGATGTGGTGTTACACGTGTTTTGATTGCAACGTTGTGCCCAAAAAGCAACAAATTTTTGAAGATACAGGATCATTTCAAAAAATCATATGTGAAAGGATGTCTGGAATCAGCTTGACCTAAATCAGATGTTCGGGATGACGCGTGATTTGGGTCGAAAGAAACAGGATCGCCGAAGAAGTAGCATGAAACTTCCTAAAGGTGCTTACACTTTAGATAACCGACTTGTTCCACGAGTGAAAGAGGTAAATACAGTTTTATTTCTGTACAAATACAAACATTAATCTTGATTGAGACAAGATGTGTAATTGTTAATTGTGTTTTTGTTCCTCAAATGGAAGTACCTGAACCAGTTTCGGAAAGGACACCATCCAGACATTGAAGAACTGGTGAACCACTTACAGACAAGATATAAGTAAGAGATGTTAGCTTTTTGTTTTACTTTTCCTTCAGGCTCATTTGGCTACTCAGCTTTTTAGACTGTAACCCAACCTCAGTTAGTGGAACCTAAAAAATCCCAGCTGAAAGTTTTTTTAGTGAAGTTTAAAAACACAGCCTTTTTTTTTAATTATTTCTGTTTTTGCAGTGAATATTCTAGAAGAAAAAGAAGAGCATTTAAGCAATCTGTGGAGAAAGGTATAGTGTTCAATGTGACAAGACAAGAAAAAAATGATCATACAGCTTTGAAAAGAATTTTCTTATAATCTTAGTTCTTAACATGGTGGATTTATTGGGGTGTTACGAAAACTAAGACCCTTGAAAACGAAGACCTAAGACCTAAAGACCCGTCTTAGTTTTCGAGATTTTGAAAACTAAGACCCCCTAAAATCGAATTCATCAAAATATAAAGTCAAATTGGAACTAAAATCGGTCTAATCTGTCAAATTATCTCCTGTCCGATCCTTTCCACTGAGTTTTAGGTCAAATTTAACGGTAAATTTAGGGGTCTTAGGTTTCGTAATTTTGAAAACTAAAACCCCTGTTAGTTTTCGTAATGATGAAAACTAAGACCCCCACCAAACCATTCTGTAAAATGTCTTCAAAGTCAAATTACAACCGTGGACATTAAATTAAGAACCCACAGAAAGCTCATATTCAATCAATCGAGCAAAATCACTGCTGTACTTGCAATATGGGAAAGCGCTAATATCAATTTTATCTGTTTCCAAACAAAGGAGTTAATCACCAACACTGGAAATCGCTACCAGGTATTCCTTGCGACTCCTCAAGGTTTCTTTTCCAATTTGTCCTGGTTGCTGCCCATCTTTTCCTGCGTACAAACTTACGAAATCTGTGAAGTGGAACTAGGGTGGCTACTGTTGCTTGCCAATATCCGTTGGCAAAACGTAGAAGTCAGTAAATATGACCGATTCTGCAGGGAAATTTTATTGTCTGGAGCTTGGACTTGTCAGGAGAGTTTCCTTGACAGCTGGATTACACCCCATGTTGTGAAACCATTTGTGAAGACATCACGTTTTTTTTCGCTTTTTGGTCACATTTCTTCGCTTCGTAACACGGGAAATCTAACCGGACTTATTATCGAATTTGAGCTTTCTG